GAAAATTTAAGGGAGCAGTAATGGAAAGTTAAGGGAGCAGTAATGGAAAGTTAAGGGAGCAGTAGTGGAAAGTTAAGGGAGCAGTAATGGAAAGTTAAGGGAGCAGTAATGGATAAAGAAAACGTGTTAGAGCGACAGCCTAAAGTATAGCCAGCTGTTGCACTTTACGTAGATGAATTACCAGATTAAAATGTGTGAATTCGGAAGTCAGGACAGTCATCATTCACCCTAAACAGGGTTGCCTCCAATGGCTCCATGGCACCATGTCGGAGCCACCATGGAAATCACACTAGACAAGAATGGATCTGTGAATAGATCCGTCAGGAACTGAATCCTGTAACATGCAATTAGATTAATTAGTTATATATATATGGGACTATGGTGACCACCAGCTGCGACTTAAATGCGCCCAGGTGCGTCACCACAGTCCCGCAGGTACGTTTACACAGGTCCCGGGGGGTGTCTTCGTTGATCACCGACCCCCCCGGGACCCCGGTGATCTCCTGCCATAAATTGTAATATAATATAATATAAATAGACGAATGGTACAGATTGCACCAGAAGTTTTACGTCTATTCAGACGGTACACACACAGACAGAAAGACAGACAGACATACATACATACACACATGCACACATGCACACATGCACACATGCACACATGCATACACACATACAAACACACACACATACATACATACATACAGACAGACAGACAGACAGACTGACAGACTGACATACAGACATACAGACAGACAGACAGACAGACAGACATACATACATACACACATACACACATAGATACATACATACATACATACATACATACATACATACATACATACATACATACATACATACATACATACATACATATGTACAAGGATACATACATAGATACATACATAGATACATGCATAGGTACAAATACATATACATATATATAGATACATACATAGATACAAATGTTACAGAGACACATACGAAGATACATAGACAGATAGATAAATAGATAGATGGATAGATAGAACGACACACAAATAGATAGATAGATAGATAGATAGATAGATAGATAGATAGATACATAGATACAAATATACATAGATACATGCATAGATACATACTTACATACATACATACATAGATACATGCATACATACATACATAGATACATAGATACGTACATACATACATACATACATACATACATACACGCACAGACACATACACACACACACGTACACACATATACATACTTACATACATAAATACATACATACATACATACATACATGCATGCATACATACATACATACATACATACATACACACACACACACAGACACATACACACACACACGTACACATATACATACTTACATACATAAATACAAGCATACATACATACATACATACATACATACATACATACATACGCAGACAGACAGACAGACAAACAGACAGACAGACAGATAGACAGACCGATAGACGGACAGACAGACAGACAGGCAGGCACACAGACAGACAGACCGACATAGATACATACGTACATACAGACATACAGACATACAGACATACAGACATACAGCCATACATACATACATACATACATACATACATACATACATACATACATACATACATACATACATACATACACACATACATACATACATACATACGTACATTCATGGATACATACATACATCCATCCATATATACATGTATACATACAGATAGACAGACATACAGACATGCAGGCATGCAGGCATGCAGTCATGCCGACATTGATACATACGTACATGCGTACGTACGTACGTACAGACATACAGACATACAGTCATGCAGACATGCAGGCATACGTACATACGTACATACGAGCGTACATACTTACATACATACATACATACATACACACAGACACACAGACATGCAGACATACATACATACATACATACAGACATGCAGTCATACAGACATACATACATGCAGACATACATACATACAGACATGCAGTCATACAGACATACAGACATGCAGACATACGTACATATGTACGTACATACATACATGCACACATACAGACATGCATACATACATACATACATACATACAGACATGCAGTCATACAGACATACAGACATGCAGACATACATACATACATACAGACATGCAGTCATACAGACATACATACATGCAGACATACATACATAGAGACATGCAGTCATACAGACATACAGACATGCAGACATACGTACATATGTACGTACATACATACATGCACACATACAGACATGCAGACAGACATACATACATACAGACATGCAGTCATACAGACATACAGACATGCAGACATACATACATACATACAGACATGCAGTCATACAGACATACATACATGCAGGCAGACACACATACAGACATGCAGACATACGTACATACGTACATACATACTTACGTAGGTACATACACACATGCAGACATACAGACATACAGACATGCAGACATACGTACATATGTACGTACATACATACATGCACACATACAGACATGCAGACATACATACATACATACATACAGACATGCAGTCATACAGACATACAGACATGCAGACATACGTACATATGTACGTACATACAGACATGCAGACATACGTACATATGTACGTACATACATACATGCACACATACAGACATGCAGACAGACATACATACATACAGACATGCAGTCATACAGACATACAGACATGCAGACATACATACATACATACAGACATGCAGTCATACAGACATACATACATGCAGACATACATACATAGAGACATGCAGTCATACAGACATACAGACATGCAGACATACGTACATATGTACGTACATACATGCACACATACAGACATGCAGACAGAC